AAGGATTTATTTTGGGCACGCACATGCACTGCATGGCACAATTACAGTGCAGTCATGTGGGAAACACTGTATATAACTAAGAACTAAAAGCCTCAAAGAGGATTGAGGTTTTGAGCTTCATGCAGTTTTGTTTGACTTCAAGATATCCAAATCTTACTGCTCAGCATCTATGACAAACTGCACTGTAACTAGAAACAGACATTCATCACTCGCACTGTGAAATAAGCTGAAGTGGCTGCAGCTGTTTGCAGTACAGTGATTTATTCTGTATATGTTTCATGCATTTGAAGTACCTCTTGGCACAAGACATGGAGCAGAACCTTTTGGTGCCTCGGAACTGGCTGGCAGGAGCAAAGTTTTTACAGTATTCACACTTCAGCACTGAGGAGAGAGTTTAGAGACAGAACAAAGCAGATGGTGAATAATACACAAACGCAAACGTGGTATTATATACTCCAGTGGGTTATGAGTCCTGGTCCACACACAGAAAATCAGACTGCGATGATATTTTCTTGCGATGTCGCGCTGCCTGCGGTTTAGACTCAGAGGTGGGAAATTCCCAGCTTGAAAGTTATAATTAAAGTCTTTATGCTTTCCTGCAGCCCAGCTCAAACAAACAGGGCAAACAAGGCTCATCTTGTTACACAACATTAAATCCCATAAGCCATGTCCATGTTATAATGTTAAAGGGACAATCACCAAAAAGTCAAAACAAAAAAACTATTCATATTGTTCATATTTTCCTTACAATTCTCTACATTCATAATGCTCAAAATATTTTTATGTGTTTCAGTTTTGAAGATATCAGCTGTACCAAGGTCTGCCTGTAATATACATTACTGTAATATACTGTCCAGTATGGCAGTCACAGTGTGCCGTATAAAGAAAAAACTGTGCAGCGAATCATGACTGTGTGACTTAAAAGAAGAAAATAAGAATCTAGCGAGAAAACTGGGCGCACCAAGTAAATAACTAAAAATCTAGAGGATAATAAAACGCTAACGGCCAAAGAACAACAACAATAAAACATGTACTACGGCTAATGCACAGAGACTTCAGCAATGCAGAAATCACATTTTGATTTTTAAGATTTTAAGAGCCGTTTCTCGTGCAGAGGCAACTTGTGATTCTGATTTCAGCCCTTAAAAGCGTCTTTAAAGCAGCAGTGCTTTAAGCAGTCTGGCTGTTACCTGTTGCTGTGGTAACAGTCTCCGACGGGTTAGTGTCTGGACTGTCGTTAGTCAAATCTTCACCAGCCGAGTCCTTGACCGGACCGCAGACCTGTCAAACACAAATTCAGTTTAAGAATCAGCGA